ATCCACTTGCTCTATTACTTCCCCAGTTAGAGTGAGGCTGGGCGCTGGACCAACCCAGTCTTGTAGTAGCATTTTACACTTCGAAGGTGCAAAACGCATACCGAACATGGCTACACACTTTCTAGAAAAGCTAGAAACTTACCTGGATCTTCATTTCCAAACTGCTGTTCGTCTATTGCCGCCCGGTGAACTTGCAAAGCATAAACCATACCCAATTACATGTATTGCTTGAGCATATTCGCACTGTATAAAGCCATTCCTTGACTTGACTTGAAAAAGATGAATGTTATGACATAAAGAGACATAATTGGTAATCTCATGGATACCCTCAAATAAGCAGAGCTGAATGCTACTAGGCGCGTCCTCGGGTTGTGGATAGGGGGGATACCTTCACCGAAGAAGGTTAGCTATGAATAAATTCTGACATACCGCAACAAATGAGCAGTTGCGACAAACATCGGGGTGTGGTGGATTTCAGGCCAGTCATCTGTCTCCTGTTTAAAAGCCGCATAAGCCCAATGACGGTATCATGACAAAGGTCAGTGTGACTGGCCGTTAAAAACTGAAGTCATTGACCCCTTCACTTCCGAGGCGAGAGTTACTTCCTGCTGACTTGCAGTTCGCACTTGGTTGTGCAAAGGCTAGAGGTGCGCCCTTAAAGTAAAAAACGCCGAGTGACGCTGGGGACATCTCTTGTACCAAACTCCCAAGGAACTTGATGATCGTGTCTGGAGCCGGCTTATCCTTTCCAAGGAGCCAGCCGTAGTAAAGAAAGTAAAGTAGGTAAATTGGTAATCTACTACCATAAGGATGTAATGTGGAACAAACACTTGCACCATTCGGGTGGTGGTTCCATAACCATCAAGTACCCAGAAGCACGCATTTCCATTCGTTTGTTTGCTAAAACTGGTGATAAGATTATGTTAGAATGGCAACACTGGTTAACGATATTCTTGGTTCCCACAAGCAAAACGATGTGAATTTCACACTGATCTGTTGCTACATGAACAAACAGTAGATATTTCTTGTATCAACGGACGTGTAAAATCCGTTTGTTCTGTAATAACGATTCACTGGAAACATCTCTTCCCATTGATCAATTTGAACAAAAAAAGTAGCAAAACATGGACCGCATTTATTTTATCACACACCCTTAATGTGCGGAACAGCGGACTGGGTAAACCCCGTAGTCACGAGGGCCTGCTTTTCAGTGATGGAAATTGGTAACCTAAGCCCCGGCACTTAGAGTGGCGAACCACAAAGGCCCAGCTAGGTTAGGTGTGATATTAAACCGGACGACAAAAAAGCTGCCTATTATCAAAATTGGATGGCGGTGACGGGACCCGAGCCTAGATTTTGCGTGCTCCCAATCACCCGCCTAAGCACATTAACTAGGTTGGGACAATGAGTTCATTTTTAGCACTCAAAATTTAATCCCAATGCTCCAGTGAGAACACAGCACGGTTCGTCTGTGAAGGTGAGTGTAGTAAATATGAGCTGTGATAGTAGAAAAAGAAATGCACTGTCTAAAGCAGGAAAATTTCCCAACAATAAGTTTTGGACTCCTAATGCGACTAGCATTGACCTTCGAAACGAGGAAATAGTGTTTA